GAGCGATTACATTAAAAAAGTACATAGCTACCATACATAGCCAAACTTTTTTCACTTGAGAACAATCAAAATACTACAAGGTCTATACGAAACAGCTTAAATTAATCGTTTGGCGAAAACTTAATTAACAAMTTACTAACTATAATATCAATTKTATCTCGATTTCAGTTCGTGAACYCCTTSTATTGRCTCGCATGAATTGGTTTGTAGGATAATTCAAGAATAACCTGTCCTCCAGAAAACGTGTCATGGAATTTCTTGAAATGATATCCYAACTCSTCACCAACTACCTTGATATGTTCCATCCACTCTCTCTTGGTTAGCTGGGGAGAGCCACAGATGCTCAGCCAATGAATGGCTTGTGCATCCATCTCAGTTCCATTGGTTGCAACTTTATCATCTTCGTCCTCGGACGCCACGTACTCAATAATCAGAACTCTTCCACCTTTAGACGAGAAAAGATTGCGACAACTACTCAGGATTTTCCTCATCAAACTGTGATCGCTGATAAACAAGGTAAGGGTATTCTTGCACATAACCGTGTCAGCCTGCACGTCAAGGTCATTTGGAAATGGCTCGGTCAAATCCTGTTTGACAAACTCAATGCGRCGCTCAGGAATCCCAAGCTCTTGGATTTTCGATTTTGCTTCTKCGACGACATCTGGCAAGTCAAGAACATATCCTTGTATGTGCTCACAGCCTGGCAGTTTCAAGATAGATGCAAGAAATCTGCCTACGTTTCCGCCGATGTCCACCAGTTTGTTGCACGTGGACCACGGAAAAGCGGTTAAAACAGTTTTCATGCCGATTTTATCTGGAACAGCTGTCAAATACGAATCATACAATAAGTTGTTGGAATAGTTCTCTTGGAACTCTTTTCTGCGATCATCGCTTCCTATCATATGCTCAGACGATCCTTCAAACATCTTTGCTCGATCGTAGCGTTGATCCATGTCATATGTGTACGTGAAATGATCCATGCCGTGTTCCAGAATAAATGCAGGTTTGCCTTGCTTCACACACGCTCCCAACGATCTCAAGGCACTGAAATGTTCCTCACTAGCAAAGTAGGCAAAGGCATGACCAACACTTGGACCTTTGTCTCGTCTTAACACTTCCATGCTTYCATTCTTAGTGAAATGCTTATTTTCAAGCTCTCTACCGATTCCCCATCGAGCGAGAAGTCTCATCAAGGCGTATAGCTGCGTACTTGACTGACAACCTGACTTTGTAGCGATCTCTTCAATACTCATGGATGGCTTTTCGCTGTTGCAGAGTAGTTCAGGAATCTTTARAYCAAGTATGACTGAAATGGATCGGTTTTTCCATAGAGAATGCATTATGGATAGCACGTAAGCTTCTTGGGAGCTAACGGCCATTTTTTGAGGTGTTTGCTCCATCGTTTGAACGACCTGCAGTTGCTATTAAAYGTTTTGAATATAATCTGCCAAAGATGACCTTGAAATTGACCAAACGTTTGTGAAAATTTGCGTAAATTAATTTGCACAAACAAAAACGTGTCGACTTATCATGATCACCAGACTGCAAACTGCTTCACGATTTTGCATAATTTGTTGTGTCTTCAAGGTTTAAGGAGAGGCCACACTTTTTATTTTAATACATGGGGCTTGGACCAACGGTTTCATGTTTCCATAGAGACCAGCGCCTTGGAATAAAATAGCCTGCGTAATTAAGCGGCCTAAGGGGACCTTTCGATCTTTTGTTGCTGTCACGGAGTGCTTAACATGTGGCTGCGTGACGATTATCTCGATAATCACGATGTTTACGCCATCACATTATTTTAAAAACATTTTACTACGCAATAGAAATATCTTAATTGCAAATTTACCTGTGAAGAAACTAGATCATCTTGGGACTAATCTCTTTGACTCCAATGATTGCGATTGGTTCACTTTAATAAGCCGGGGTTTTTCCCTGAAAGATGAAACCAGTCATGTGAGAGRGATCAGCTTGAATACATCACCAAATAAATAAAACCAAATTCCCAGAAACGAATTATACGTTCAAACACTATCGACACGTTTAGTGTTAAGATGAGGTTGATATGGGGCTTAAGTTGTAAAGCGGTTTTTCTCGTGTTTGTGACCATTGTATCACTAGTATTATCAACGGATTCCTGTCCAAATCATCAACATGAATTTAGGGAGGAAGGCTTTGGAGTAGCGAGGATTTCAATCCATAGCAAAGTCAAATGGATAACAGAGTCGAAGACCAAGCTGATTGGAATAACTGTATCATCGGGAAGTAACCAAGGAGAGACTGAGGTTACAAAGGAATTCTACGTGAAAAGTGCAGTAACAGTTTGTAGGAAGTGTCGTATGGCTACTGGAATGGTATTCATGACATTGGATCAGTTAAGACAGATCACTGCGATGAAGCCTGTGCTTGAGCCATTGTTGCAAAAGGCTATTGCAGCAGAACATTAAACCCACGTAAAATGATACAGATGGTAATCAGACGAACTTACCCGCATTATCATCAGCTATATATCTAGCATATTCGGCATGCAGACGAAGCTCAGTTTCCACCTGAAATTATAACAATATCTGTACTGCTTTTATCGGAATAGTTTAACTATTAAAATTAAACACAACTGTTATTGTTTTGCAATTCAGCATATCATTTACCCCCTGCCAGAGGTTATCTTCACTTTCTCATAAACTATTGCGAAATTAACAACACGATTACTAAACTCGCAAATAAAGTATGAGAAAGAGTAAGTTCCAACCTCCAGCCCCCTCCCCCTCCCCACCCCCTTAAAAAATACTACAGAGACTACAAAAATAGAATGATTGACTAACCAACTTACACTATCGGCGCAAGCTAAAAACATTCAAAACTGAATATACCGTGACGTCTGAGGAATATTGCGCGGCCTGGGACTGCGCGTTTCGAGGACTACAGTCATACAAAGCTGAAGTAAGGAATAGAACTTTATTGTGTGTTACATGAAAAATATTGTCTAAAGTACTTAAAAAGTTAAAGACCCATACGGCTTCAGCAACATACTATAGAACGATTTGTTCTCTTTGACGATTTGTTCGCGATATTAAAGTTCATCTTTCGGCTTGGTTTTTATTGCAAAATTATATAACGAACACCTTTTTATTATAAACAACCAAATATATTACACCACCTCTTTTATATTAAAAAAAAACAGTGTACTACAAAAAAATCTCTACATTATGGACATTAAGGACATTAAGGACACCTGTAAATCATTGCCGTTACTGCCTTATGAATTGTTAAACTACATGACATCACAGTTCATCTCTTGGTTCAGTGAAAAAGTGTTGTCCACATTTCCTGCAGTATCTGTCTTGTACAACAACTACTTTATCTTCAAAATGAAATTCAACAGGTTGTTCAGCCTTCACGATGTCATGGTGTCCGTGATGACATGGTGTTACTTTCTCTACACGATACGAATCCTCGGTGACTACAACTCTTGCATGTTCCACTTCTTGTTTAAATTCCCTGTAAGTCTTACGAACCTTTTTGACTCCAATAACTTCAAGGATTGATCTGATAGGCTTTTCAATGATCTCTTTTCCGAGTGTCTCCAATGGTTCCTTGATTCCTCGTCTTATAACTTCACGATCAAATTTCACCAAAGTCTTGTCAACAAATTTAATGATTTTGTCGATGAATCCACTGCTTTGATTTACTCCATAAGCCATAAAAATGGCCAAAACGATGAAACCACGACCCAAATTCCTCATGTTTCTAGATCAAATGTTTTCAACTAGTAGGGTGACTATTTAGTCAAATATGAGGGGAAAACCCGGAATGAGTCCGACGCTTTTGCTTCGTCATGCCACAGGCCTGCTCGTGTCATAATTCCTCGAAATGCTATTTTGAATTCTTTTTCCTAAAATTCTGTGAAATTTTACTAAATGCCGTATATTTGGATTCTTAGAACAACCACGTGGGTGAAACCCAAGAATTTCATTAGTCTACTCTCGCAGTCGAAGCCCGAATACAGGGAAAACCCCTTSGCGCTGTCACGCAATAGACTACAATATGTTATGATTGTACTCATTCATTAATACAGTTTTATTAGTTAAAACATTTCGAAGGAAAAACAAAATGATGCTATGTTTAAGACATTTTCTTTTTTCATCGCAGTTTATATACTAATGTAGCCATCATAGGGGGCTATGTCACGCAAGAACAGGGGAAGTACCTGTAACGAACGTCACTTCCGTTACATTTTGTTTTCGACGAATTGATCCACGCATCACATGAATCTCGCTTTACAATGGCGTCAAGTCCACTTAAATGGTTCATCATGGCTTATGTTTGTATTGGACTAGTCAAGGATGTTATCAGCGAGAAATATCCAGTTAAAATAGACAAAGAAACAGGAGAACTTTACTATGAACAGAACAYGACAACTGGAATACAGAAAATCGTGATTCGACAGGCAGACGTAGAATATAAGAAAACAGAGGAAAAGTCTGTGAAGACAAGTGGAGGAATTCAGGTTGCTAAAATTGGAGTAGGAATACAGTTTTCTAAGGAGAAGCACTGGCAACACACTGTCAGCTACTCTCGGAAAGGAGGAAAGGTTGAACTACCTATGACGGACTCTTGCTTACTTAATACTGCCTGTAGGGACTCGATACTTAATTCACTGAATAATGCCATAGCTGATGACGGACAAAAGACTATCAAACAAATAAATTGAACTCTAGGATTGAAACAAAAACTAAGCAAGCAGTCAGTTTGATACGCTGGCCACTCGTTGCTTCTATATGGAATCTCTTGCACTGATATAAATAAGCTGAATTGTAAAGTTTGTAAATCAGAAATGCGCTTTTTTGGTAATAAAAATACATGTAACTGCATTTGTATATCTTTCTGACCTTTACTTGTACAGTGTTGTCCGTGATGTAACAACGAAACACGTATATATATATATCGAGTTTATAAGAGTCTCTTGGATTTCATCTTTCAAAGAAGGCAAACTTACTAACAGTCATTTTTGTTTTTCAATTTTTGTAAAGAAGCTCTTCTTCATTGAGAGTTTGCTTTCTTTGCAAAGATATTTTCATTTATATTTGCTGACTTTGCTCATTGTGGATTTAGGGACGAGACTGATTCATAGAAATTGGAAATGCATGGTGAGGATCATAAAAACTATACGACTTCTGGAAGAAGTTGTATCATTGTATGTTATGTTTCTTTTAAAAAAGATTTTTTTTGAAAGTTGCGCAAAGGTTCTTCGATCTTTAAAACATTATTTGATGACCTTCTTTCTTTCCCCCGTTTATTCATTAACGTGACATGTCACAGCAGGATCGGTTTTGCGTGACTATTGGACTTTGAACGCTTTGCCTGCGGAATGCACTTTCCAGGGAAAACCCAGKGTCAAATATAAGGGATTTCCCCTTCCCATTTCAAAGTATGACCGCACAATAAACACTATAAAACAACATTCAGCATTCCTATATGATACCTGACGMAGATCATTTCTTATGCAGCTTACAGGACAAAGATCTGAGAAATATGAACAAATTTATCTTATTTACTTTGTTAGTTTGTCTTGGTTTTATAACACCTCAAGTGAACTCGAAGTTGAGTTTTGGAGAAGCATTGGACAAGGCCTTCAAGACTGTGGTAACTATTGCACACCTGGTAAAGCGCTTCGAGCACAAGACGTACGAAGAGTTTATACAAGAAGTGAAGCATGCAAGAGTTGTAGTCACCGAGGATTCGTATCGTGTAGAGAAAGTAACGCCATGTCATCACGGACACCATGACATCGTGAAGGCTGAACAACCTGTGGAAATTCACCTTCACGACGACGTCGTTGTTATACAAGACAGATATTGCAGAAAATGTGGACAACACTTTTTCAGTGTGCCAAGAGATGAACTCTAGTTTGACACAGTTTGACATTTGTTTTTGTAATTTACAGTTTTTAGCGTTTGCGACCAATAAATATCAAGATAATTGTTTGAGCTTCTTTATAGCCTACTAAGCTATCGATATCTTTGTTGGGTTACCTGTGTTCCATAACCGAGCATTTACATAATTGCAAGACAGTAGTTGAGCCTGTAATGATACGTAATAATAATAATWATTATTATTATTATTCACAGGTATCTATCAATCCAAGTCTTGCAAGCTCAACTGTTATCTCGCTTTGAAAGGCTATGCTGCCATCCAAGATGGCTGGGAACTGTAGAATTTAGTATTACGAATATTTTTTGACAAATCATCCGTTTTTATAATACAAAATCATATAACGAACACCTGTTTATTAGAAACAACCAAATATATTACACTACCTCTTATATTTTTTAAAAAAACAGTGTATTACAAAAAAATCTCTACATTATGGACATTATGGACATTAAGTAAATCATTGCCGTTACTGACTTGTTAAAATTGAATTGTTAAACTACATGGCATCACAGTTCATCTCTTGGTTCAGTGAAAAAGTGTTGTCCACATTTCCTACAGAATCTGTCTTGTACAACAACAACTTGATCTTCAAAATGAAACTCTACAGGTTGTTCAGCCTTCACGATGTCATGGTGTCCATGTTGACATGGCGTTACTTTCTCTACACGATACGAATCCTCGGTAAATACAACTCTTGCATGTTCCACTTCTTGTTTAAATTGTCTGTGAGTTTTTTTAATCTTCTTCTTTAAACCAACAGCTCTAAGAACTTGCTTGACAGGCTTTTCAATTACATTTTTGAAGACTTTTTTAACGGGTTTGAATACAACTTTCCTGACRGCTCTCTCGACTCTCTTCAAGACGCGTCGAAGTCCACAATCAACATCAGTAACAAAACACAAAGTCAAAAATACAGCTAAACAGATACAAATGGAAGTCTTCATTGCTAAAGTCCGAGCCACTATAACACAAGAAACGCACTGAACAAGTTGTGTTTTATACACTTATACCGGGGAAATTTCCCGTTCGCAATTACTGAAATTATATCGATGGCGAAATTTCCGGTATTGACTATGTCACACAACGTGTAACATACTTGCTTTCCTTTTCTACTTTTAAAAAACTTAAGATTTTTCTTTGACTTCATTTTCTAACTTATAAATTGATTTTTGCTATTTTGATATCTCTTTTAAAAGAAAAAGTAGAAAGAAAAATTGAAAGCATTTGCCCCACAGGGGAAAACCCGCCAGTGACGTCACGCGAGTATTGTACATCATTGCAAGAAGGAAGGCTCATGAAAATGAACTCTCTATCGCTAACTCACAAATATTCAATCATATTGGTGCTGTATGTTTTACATGGGACCATGATACCATCTTATGGTGAGCAGCAAATGATGTTTGACCCTGAGACAAACGAAATTTCTTTCGTCAAAGACTCACCAACATCTTGCAAGGGCTTTCCCGTAGACTTTGATCCCAAGACAAAGAAGATTGTCTACAAACCAGGACCAGATAAATGTAAAAAGATGGTGATAACTATGGAGAAAGATTACGAGATAAAAATGGAAGAATCTGTTAAAGAGAAGGTGACATACAAGATTGGATTCTAGGAGTTGCGTGACAATTGTCACTGCCGGCATATTTGATACTTAATTGACAAACTTCAATTGTGTGATGGATCTATTCATACAAACGCCGTGTTTATATTTTCATTTCGTTAATTTCTTTGAATTGATTTTGGTTTTAACGATTCGTTGTTTGATGTGCATGGGCGCGTATGATGACATCACGAGACAGCGTGACACGTTTGTTGTGTGGACRTACGTCATAGTTTGCAAACCTTCTTCAATCGAGACATCATGCTGGGTAGCTTGTTGTAACATTAGGAAAATACAGATGACATAAGACGCTCATCAGTCCAAGACTTCTTCGTAAAATACGAAGTTTGTCAAGTTATATACATAATTATCTAGTTTAGAATGAAGTTTGTGTCATGAGAAATGAGAAATTTCGGGGGGGGGGGCTACACATCATACAATTTAGAAAGGGAGAAAGAAAGTAAGGAAAGAAGGAAGGAAGGAATAGAGAAAGGGAGTTAGAATGAAGTTTGTGTAATGAGAAATGAGAAATTTCTGGGGGGGGGGCTACACATCATACAATGTAGAAAGGGAGAAAGACAGTAAGAAAGAAGGAAGGAATAGAGAAAGGGAGGGAAACTGTTCCTACAATGCATTGCAAATCAAGTTGGTGACGATATGGTATAAATGAACGATTAGGGTCTGACCAAAAATGTTGGATAGCTAAATATCCATCACGTGACTCACGTGACTGTGCATCAATTATTCTTTTATTCTTCAAGCAAATATTGAATAAATTCTGATGTGTTGCACTTGYAAATTTTATAAAAAAAACYTCTCGCAGAAGAACTGMWGATASAGWTTACATGATCATGGKMCTTTACAGACTTTGCTGTCCTTACCATTCTTTGGAGTAACTTTCAAATTTACCAGTTTCGAACTTAGTCACTGTTTATTTAGATTGCTGAAACATCCGTAGAATCGAAAGTAACCTTCCCTAAGTTCTTCTAGCGCTGATTTTGTTGTTAAGCCCACTAAAACAGACAATAAATGTCAAATCTCAAGAGTTTTYAAGTGGTCTGCTATAATAGAACACGAGCGGTAAGTCATTTGATGACTCCGACATTCTGTCGCCACTATTTCRCTTTGATTAAATAAATCTTAAAGCATATGGATTGTCTTTAAAAGCACGCAATGCCTTGTTTCTGAATGTTTTGCTGACTTGGCTCTTGCTGTTGTCTATTTATATTACATCAATTGCGATGAGTTATCATGAACTACATCATCCGTATCTCAAAATATTTATATTAACCAATGTCTTTGTCTCAGGGCTTTCGTTTCTCCGCCTTTGAAACTTCGTATTATGACTGCTCTTCATAATAATCTAATAAAATTATACTATACAAATAATCTCAAAAACATATGCCTTTCAAGGAGCTGCTTCTTCTCAAACTGAAGTTTCTGGGACATTTTGTTCAAATACATCACCAATGTACTTGAAGAAACACGACAGAAGTTTCTCATTCCTTAGTTCGATGGCCATCTGAAACGGTGTGTAACCATCACTGTTTTCAGTAAATGAGTTACAACCAGCTTCTAATAGCATTTCAACACATTTAAGATCTTCACCACACACTGCGGCGTGTAATGGAGTCCAACCATCATCATCACGAGAATGAATCCTGGCTCCACACTCCAAAAGGTAAATCATGCAATCTTTATTTCCTTCAAAAGCTGCTGCATGAAGTGGTGTTGCGCCTTCAGCAGGGTTTTTGGCGTTAACATCGGCCATTCCTGATTCTATAAGTGCCTTAACTTCAGCAAGATCGTTTGTTGTACACGCATAGAATAGTCGAACGTCTGGATGAAAGCTCACACTTCTTGGACGAGAGTATTTGCATTTTTTCTCCATTTTTTCAGCTCTTCTCTGCACAAACGGACTACGGCGCCCATCTTCTTCGTCTGGTTTCAACAACATTAAATCTGTCGTCGAAAAAGGCCGGCCAACTCGCTTTTTACGAGAGAAGTTTTCCATTGCCGAAGCACTATCTGTGTTATTGGCAGTGTTGCTCGTTAGATCCGCCGTCTCCTCATCAACGCAGGATGCCATCACAAAAACAAGGAGGGTAGGTTGAGGCAAGTTTGTAGAGAAATGATCTAATAAGTGTTTACACTCCTGCTAGACAAATATTCGATGTGAGACCTCACCATAGGGTCGTTAAGCAGAATTAGATTTAGCCAATTAGAATTGTAAATGTCGGCTATGGATGATGATTTTACTCTCTAGRACGTCATCCTTAACCYAACACAGCGTAGCGATGCTAATCTTTTGACAACATWGGGCATGATTCACAATGAAACCTCTCTTAAATCGACCAATAACTTTTTRAATATTCGAGCTGGTCGYAATATAGAGGTGTACAATAATGGTTATTCTGGTACTAGTATAGGAGATGGGTAATCAATGTCAAGTAGAAACAGAAAATTAATAAGAAGATTTAATATGGWGGAGTTTTAGYTGATATTGACTTTATAGATATTCGACTCTGTATGGAAATGCTTGTCATAACATGAATCAGAAAATTTGAAAGGTTATGCGAAATATTATTCTTATTGAAATTTAATACCTATAAATAATATGTTTGTATAAGCATAAAATTGTAAAACAAGGAAATAGATAGACTTTGTATATGTTYCGTAATCCATATATCTATCGATATATACCCGAGTGCTTATACTGTATCATCAAGGAATTGAAAACAGCCAATACGCATTTGACTTTGTCAAAAGATCACAACGAAACATTGAYWKGCCACTGAGAAACAACGATAAAGATACTTATGAACAAAATCATGCTGTTCAGACATTATTCCAAAATAGTTTGTGGCATCATATTGGGCAAAACGTCTTAGACAAAATGAGTTGTAAAAATGTTTGCTGTACAAAGTTCTTTCACTTTCCTTACACATTATATGATCAGAAATAGCGTGGTGTGAAAACTACAATAGAATTGTTTTCACAAAAAGGTCTTCCATTGTCGAAAGTCGTCAACAAAAGCAAAAGAATCCGCAGTGTGGAACTGTGGAGGTTTTGTGAATAACTTACTACTAGTCTTTTAGTTCACTTCGTGTTTGCACTGCAGGAAGGGGACCTCGGACTGTGAGATAACGTCAAATGCACAGTACAATCCCTTTAAGTACATACGATGGGTTCAATTTAAGAAGAGCTATTGTTTAGCCTGGAAGACTGCATAGCAAAAGSAAATGCTTTGAAACCTGTAAATCCCTTGCGAAAACTCTGCAAATACAGAATAAATCTGATTTATTGACTCGTTTGTACAAAAATTGAATCTTRTCACTTGCATTTAAAAGGGATTACACAAAATTATGTTCTTTTAATGGATGCATTCACTSTACATGAAGGAACGCAGTCAAAGTATCGATGACAAGTTGAACAAAAGAGAGAAACTCACTAAGAGAGGAAAAAAAACAAAATGGCGAACCTTAGTGTCATTTATTTCAGCTATGACAGCAAAATGACGTCCAAGACAACTGACGATATTTATGACGTCAAGTCCTTTATTTCTTTTGAGTCTTCCGACATAAWGCGGGTAAAATTATGTATCTTACTTGATCATATATTTATTGTATAATTCTTTACCCAGGTTCACAGACAGTTTCTATAGATGATTTTCATTTGTAGAAAGATGTTCAGGCCCAGTTTCCTGTTTTCCAGCAGTGTCGAGCGCAATAGGACAAGATGCGGTCGATTGAATTGAAAGTATGTGCACAAAAAAAATTATTGTGAGAAACTTCTGGTGCAAAATTAATCAAAATATATAATTTCAAGCAGCGCAGAGCTTTATAATGTTTTCAAAATAGAACAACCTCTGTSTGGATCATAGTTTGCTTTTCGTAAACGAAAATTAATTAAAAAAAGAGACTTAAAAGGCTTTCATGTTGTTCAAACTACAATAAAGTTATGCCGATTTTAATTTTATTAAATTTTATAAGTTAATTTGTACAGTCACGGATGGTAACTCCATTTGAATAATCCAGCAAAATGAACATAACTACTGTACAATCGCCATTTTGAATTTCATTGTATTTTGTAAGAAATTTTGTAAGGCTGCCAGATATTTATTGAAACTRAATTTGAAGACTGTACAGTTTAAGGGTGATAAACAGTTCAATTTTACACAATGAAATACAATTATAAATTGAATTATTTTTCTTTCGATTTCATGTAAAAACTTGAACCTTTCAAAATTCAAGATGGCGGCCCTTACTGCTTCACACATTAAATTTAGCATTATCGGTTGAATGTACTTACTTTTAGAGAAACACCATTCAATTTTGTTTGAGTTTTGAGTTGTCTGTTTGTTGTTTTCACATTAAGTGGTTTCAATAGTTTGTCCACTTGGGTCCAATATCATCACAATGCAACCAGAATCTGTTACCAAAGACAAATATTTGGATTTTGTAATTGGAATGGTACAAAGTATGCATGTGTGAATTACAATAACTCTGAAAACTTTGTTAGCTCACTTGACAATCATATGTAAACCTAGAGTAAATTAAAGACAATATTTTCGCAGCTATAATTAAAGTTTTTCTTAAAAAAAAGAAATCCCACTTGGTAGGATATAATTGCATTTATATCAAATTTTATGAGTTTTATGAATGTTATTGCTTCCGATAGCAATATTTGAAACAGTACTTGAAAGAACTGAAGTGCTGTAGAGTTATSAATTATTAAAAGAGACGATATTCCATTGAAAACTCATTATTCATAAGGTAAACTGGGTGATTTTAAAATGTTGAGGTGAATATTGTCGTATTCTATGCGATGTTTTAACATTAAAACGTTAAAACGTCTTGCATTATAATCTTCTAAGCTTTTTAATGATGCTATCTATCTTGAAAGACCTTTTTTAGAGTTTTCAATGATAAACGCCCGAATGATTCTTATTGTTCAAGGTTCAGTGTTTTATTGTTTACAAAATTTCTAGAGTCTTTGCCTCTTTTAAGAGAATTTACTGAATATAATTAGTACATATAGCTAGCAATTAAGCCGTAACGTCACGTTTCACACGCTCAACGACTCAAAGTTTACTTCAAAACGGAACTGAGTTGCTCCAAATTCCTGCTCGCTCTGTTCTCTCGCCACAGTATTCTGACATTTGAAGAAGGCGAATGTAAACACAGATTATTGACAAAAGCGACTTGATTTTCGGTTGATCAATGATGATGTCCTTTCCGAAGCTCAACGTGGGTAAAGTCACATACAACAGCATTGAGCTATCGTGGGATGAAGACAACAACAATGACAACAAAAAAATAAAATATCATATACAGCTAAGCAAAGCGAGATCTCGAAGTCCGTCTCCAGGMGCACCGGCTTTAGATCCGCTCACAAACTACCAAGGCACAGGGCAACATCATGTCTTCAAGGGACTCGAGCCACTCACTGAATATCTCTGCCGCGCTCGTATCGTGGAGGAAGGACTAGGCGGGCACCCACAATGGGGTCAACCAAGCCATGTAACTACAGCTAAAGAGCCACCATCGGGAGCAGAGCTTCATAAAGCCGTAGCGAATCAAGATTTGGAACATGTTAGGAAAGTTTTACAAGAGAACAGTGCTGTTGTTGAAGTCATAGATAAACACGGTTTAACACCGCTGATGGTTGCGGCAAAGAAAGGCTTTCTAGGTAGGTTAAGATTAGGTAACCCTTCGCATTTTGTGAATTTCGTGTTTTGGGGGTTTTCTTGACGAGAAAGCTATTCACTTTTYACATATTGTTTACCTCTCGTGCGAAATTTTCAAGCAGAGAAATGTAAATTTGTTCGTTTTACAAATAGTAAGAAAATCACGTTGAAATCAGGTYGATTATTTTACGCCATTCTTTCCCTCTTGAAAACATTTCCTCTGAACGCATATTTTTCATTAAATGTATAATTGCATGCCGCATCTGTTGTGTAAAAACACTCCAGACTTAAAACTATAATAATGAAGTCTTCACAATTAACATACACTAATAGATCTTTTGTTGAAAAAGCTTTAAAGGATCTCTGTTGGAGACTCATTTCATTTTAATATTCCATTGCAGAATTCAATATCATTTCGATTTTAAATGGTCTTTTTTTCTTTTCAAGTAATAATCAGTGTCTCAAGGGTCTTTTGTCAAAGTYATTTTTGCGTCAATTTATGTCATTGATGAGTAATGATAAGTTTAGTCATTTTTCAAAGGCATTTAGCTGTAAAAAAACAAAACGTTTCAGTCTGATACGGTGGTGAGAGTCYACTCCAGAGGAGCATTTAGTAAGAGGAAGTAATTTTACCCAGAAGAAACTATCAAAAATGGTCATAATTGCTGCAGTCAGTTGTATCTGAAAATCAATTCGCAGAAATTCGCACGCAAGGAAAAGTACCACTTTAACACAGCAAACGAATAAAGACTTATTAGCAAAAAAGTCTTTCAAATTATGTAAGTTCTGAATAACACAAATAAATCGGTGATTTTTTCTCTGGAGYTGAAAAAAGAGTTTGATGTGATTAAAGTAAGTAGGATGACAAAGTGATAAAATCAGTTTTATTCGCACACTTTAGACCTATCGTCTACTACCGATCATGTTTTGAGATACAGGAAAACACATTTCACTGGAGAAAGTAATATTTCCCTTTTGATCCATCTTATCAATCATAAAAAACTCACAATGTCTGCCAATCTTTGACAAGAAAACGAATTGAAAATGCTCTTTGGAGGTCATGTCTGGTTAGTCATCAGGATCTAAGGCATGCTTACAGAGCAAAGATTAGGCAATCCTTATGTCAGACTTTGGATCTTTTCGCAAACAATTGTTTGCCCCTGAAAAAACACTACCTTGACATTCTCAAAGAGAAAGATTTACGCTCGACGTTTGAATTGGCAAACAGTATCTATGCACACAAGGAAAAGATATTTTGCTGTCAAATAATGGCTTAAAAGCGTTTCTTTATTAGCTTATTTTAGATTTATTCAACATTTATTCGACATCTTGACGTGGTTTAGGGGATAGTTTTGTTGTCCGTAGCGATAATGCCTGACCGCAGAACAGCAAGTATTGCAGGCATACAAACACTGCCACGCTACAAGAAATCAAGAAATTATTGGATGCGTACCAATTAATCAAGAAATTCATCGACTGCATAGCTTTCTAATGAAATACATTTTCACATATCCAAATAAGTATTAGACTCTTTTTTAAAAAAATTACAACATTCGTTTAATTTTCAATTCAAGATGGCTGCCGTATGAGTAAAGCTTGTGCTCCGCTTTTGACATTCTACAGTTAATTGTTTTGCATTAAATAATCCATGGCTTTTTTAATTAGGTAACACTTTTCGTAAGATTTCTGTTAAGAAGATCTACAAGCTTCACTTGCAGCTCTTGTTGCTCTTGTTGTTGTTGTTGTTGTTGTTGTTGTCGTTGTTGTTGCTGTTGTCAGTGTTCTTGATGTTGTCCTTGTTACATAACATATGTCTAATACAAAGTCAAATATATTTATACTCAGATGTAATGGAAACTCTGATTGAGCTCGGMGCAGACCCAGACTACATGAACCCYGGTGGTAAAACCTGTCTAATGATCGCTTGTTACTCTGGTCAAGAGGATGCTGCTAAATTATTACGAGAGAAAGAAGTACCATGGACTACGCGTGACAAGAATGGGTTAACCGCTGTCCACTGGGCTGCAGAAGGWGGTCATGATGACATATTGTTGTGGATGTTACGTGAAGGAGCCGAGGTTGATATCGAGGATAGTGTTAATGGCTGGACGCCTTTGATGAGAGTTGCTTGTCTTAGTGGTAATTACGACGTGGCCGAGGTGTTAATTGGTGAGTTTARTCACTATTAAATCATTGATRSTTAATTAGAAGCGAAATGCATGCACAACGGACACAAATAAGAACGCTGTTTCACACGGAAAGTTATTATCATTCATAAAAGTAACAATATTKGAGAGKCMCGMAAAAAAYTYTCAAGAACCAACGCAGGCAAAAGCGCGCACACAAAGCAGGCGCAAGTTTTAAACGATGCAAGAAAAAGAAAGTTACATCAAGGTTTTTTGAGCGTCACAAAGAAATATATTGCGGAAATCTCACATTAATGTCTATTGTTCACAGCAAAAGGTGCTGATGTCAACAAAATTGACAAATCCGGCAAATCAGTGCTAATGGCAGCCTCGATGAACGGACATTTCGACATGGTTAGGCTCCTCGTCGAGAAAGGAGCAGATGTCATGCGCAAAAACAGAGAAGGCAAGACAGCATTGGAATTCGCTCAGTCATTTGAGAGGCATCGTATTATAAAGTTCCTGGAATTCCAGTATCAAAAAGAAGAAAAACAAAGAAAAGCGAAATTACTAGAGGAAAAACAACGTGAAATTAGAGAGCAGACAAGAAAACTACAGCTAGGAAACGCCTAGGGAAATATTGACAAATTGAACGCTTTTTGTAGAGATTATGATAAATTAAGGACACAAGCGGATTATGTACGCGATGAAAATTTGTTGTATGCTTAGTGTTTTGTATCGTTACGAAATACACACATTCCTACAATGACACAACGTCACACAACACAAACTTTATCTCTCAAAATGCAACTTCACGGAGAATCTCTTTTTAAAACTCGACGTGAATCTACATCTCAGCAGTTAATGGAGAATCACTTGTCAATGCTCGCCTTCTCTAAATCACTTCACATCATACAATCMAAATCCGTTCATCATCCCTCTAACTAAAAGGAACTKTGACGTCACCAGCAGTTACTATATACCRCATGCCTGGTAATCGCTATGCGTGACAGTATTTGTCACGACACTAGGAAGACGKATGCACATGACCTAATAAAGAGGTAAAAAATAAAACTATCCATGATATTTAATTGTCATGTGATCTACTGCGACTGCGCATTAAAGCTGACTTAAACATTCTGTGGTATGCTTTAAGATATGGATAAGTACAGTTCAATTAGCAATTTAGGATAACTCAATTAAAAAAATTTTGACAGTAAAATATTGGTCGTAAATACTGGTCGTAAACTAGTCGGAAAGCAGTCGTAAACTACCAATAAGAAAGTATTGATTAGAATCATAAAACAATCACTTTGCGTTGCAAATGGAAAGRACTCTATCATACTAAGAATAAAATTCATTTTTTTCCTTCGCCTGCAGTTGCAGATCTCAGTGACTGAAATCAAACCGTTCATGTTGTATGCGGCCGATTTTATCAAGACTTGATAACTGATATTGTTTATGTTGAAGCCAAGCTGAGAGAATAAATAATAGTAAAAATATAAAATATCATGAATTTATGCAGAGGACAAAAAGACAGCGAAGTCGGATACAAGACCAAATGATTGATTTAAAGAAGAGAGTCAAGCAGAGAAAGTGTACTTTTTGAAAACGATAACAATGACGCTCTCGATTTCATATCGGTGAGAAATAAAAAAACAATTGATCAGCAGAAATTCAATTTATTGTTGGGGATACCTGTGGTTTAACCAGCTTCTGTTCATGGGTTCCCTGTGGATTTTCATATTCATTACATTTCAATCTCTTAATTGTGTTTTTCAGTTGGTTTTATTGACCACTAAGAGAAGATTTTCTAAGCTACTGATTGTTAGTAATCGTATTTTACGTTGCCAACGGCAACCTGTTACATAATGAATAGGTTTTCTGATTAAAATGCACTTTGGCATTAAAAAACACTTCAATTAAAAAAAAAACACTTCGAATGCTAACATTTTTTTTATCTAAGAGCCTCAAGCTTTTAGTAATTGTTTGACGGGTATTCATTCCAAATTTCGTGTTATCTGATTACATAAATCAATCCCAGTTCACTTTGTCGTTTTACCAGTCGAAAAATCTAAAAGAGAAAACTTCGAATTAATCTCAACGACTAGATCTTGGTTGTTTATTTTTAAGTTAATGGCATAAAAACCACACTTTTTATTCACAATGACATCAAAATAAAAAATTAACATGTCGGTTTTTAATCATTTCTCATTTATTCCGTTCTATTTTTCATTTTAGACATTTTAATGAAGCTGACTACACCTTGAAGCGTAATCTAAAGGAAGAATTCTTAAAACTCCCAAAATTTAAAATTATCTGGAACTAGTCATTTTTGTTTGTTTGCGAGCTAACTATCATATACAGCAAGACCTGGAAGTACGGACTGTTTAATCTGATGGACAAAAACGAGATAAAGAGCCGATATAGCACTGAGCAGTTGAATTGCTTCCTCGAGCACTTTACTGGCTTCCGCATTCGATTTAATTGTCGACTTCCATTTCTCTTGTTTTGTTGCTATGTTTTTGATAACGAAACACTGAAAACTATTTTCMCCAAAATAAAAAAGACAGAGGAGATAATAGGAAAAGACTAAGAGCACTGAAATGGTTTCTTCAAAAATTCCAACGACTATTTATCCAGTACYATTTGAATTATATTCTTATGCATAATCAGTATACAGCATCTTKTTATCTGAAACGTATGGAAGAAAAGTATTTAAACCCTAATTCAATCCGGCCTTCATGATTTATTCATGGGGTTTGTGAAAATAATTCCCTTATCACGTCTTGATGGATCGCGGTACTACTTTTGTCCATTCTCATTAACTTAATTTATATATTTTATCAAACACAAATCCTTTCAGTGCAAGGCWTAGTTGTAATCAAGTATTCATAAGTCTTGGTGTTTTCTTAGTAGTCAGTTTGTCATTACATTCAGTTTTCTTTGATAAGGATTTCTTTTATTATTCTCTAAATGTTCTCATAGTATGACTTGAGTTTCTTATTTCTAGTCTCATTCTATTTCATATAAACGAGAAATATTCGAGGTATGAATTGTGACTAAGACTGCATACGAAATCATCTCTGATTGGTTTATGTTAAGTCAATAACAATTAGTGTCATATAATACTATCCATGATATTACGATATCGCTGGATTGTTGTTCAGACTTCAAAGACACAACTTCATTGAGAAAGGTTAAGAAAAATACTAAACGTAGAGCTATGCCAGTAAGGTTTGCCGGTCGAAGACACTCTGCACGAAGACGTCAAGGTCCTGACAAGCAAAACGCACAAAAAAGTCCTCAAAAATCTGCAAATAAAGACCAACACAAAGAAAAAACAACGACAAGAAACAGGTCCAAGTCTGCTCCACCTCTTAGCTCAACACAACGAGCAAAACTTCCTCCAGTTGACTACGATCAGGCTTTGAGAAAGCTAGTACGTGCCTCGGAGATCTTGGAAAGATCCACCGATATGGAAAACGACGTTGACAAAAATTTGCAAGAAATACAGCAAAAACTCGAACCAAGCGTGAAAAAACCCATAAAGAAAACTTCGTGTGCCTTTTAGGGTCAACAATGAAGAATGTTATTACTACTTTTAACAAATGGTCTCGGAATTTTAGTTGCGTCAAAGAGCAAAGCTTATTTAACGGAAAAAGATCCCGATTACCACAAAATGAAAAACACGACCTTGCTTTATGGCACAAGAAAAATAACACAGCTTTAATATAACACCCTGAGATAGGATGCCAAAGAGATMTATATTGTTTTTCAAAGCAAGGAAAACCCTAGCTATTATAGACACAAGACACCTTAATTTTTGATGAACAAAATCCTGCCTTTTGACGCAACACAAGCAGACGAACTTGAAGCCACTGTTGATGCAAAGTTGTTTATAGCTCATGTAAGTCACCATAAACTGACAATASAAATCATAATGAAATGACAAAAGTGAACGACATTGCTCTGGATTTAAAAAAMAGCTCGATTACRCTTCATATCTAGGACGAAATCAACTTGAGGCGGTATTTGTTAACCTCTTATATTTGTTAACCATGGAAACACTTAACTTATTTAATCCATTGAATTTACACCAGTCGCAAAAAACTACATTAATTTTTTTCAAACCTTTCATTTTTTTGTAAATATCTTAATAACTTCGCGGTGTCGAGAATACATATAGCTATAYAATTCAGTATATTTTTTGTTGTTTATAGTCTCAGCATTAATAAACCATCATGAATTATAAATATGCTGTCTGCTAGTGAGCTTACCAAGAGAGATTTCCACAAGTAAATATAGTTATACTTTCAACTAAAGTCAAACTTTTTAACAAACGCAACTCAGATGACACTCAGATGTACATAGTTTYAGGATTAATGTCATAGAATCTTTAGAAAATCACATGAAAAATGAAGCAGACTGGAGATTCTACCAGCGAAAATGTATTTGTCGTTGCGTGAGTTGGGGGTAAGTGTCTTTTGGCAAAAGATTGTCACCAACAGCTTTGAGACTAGGCGACTGACCAAAATGAACCGGAATTTTAACGACGATGGATCCTTGCTTTGGTAGAATGTGACTMTACAATCTAAAATTACATTCTACAATACGAGAACTGAAATGTTATTACAGGAATTTAACTTTCATACTAGGRCTAGTGTAATAATCTTGAGGTGTTGCAGAGACTGGCGTCAGTGTCAATTTTTAGTCTTCATGAGTGTATTTGAATATCATAACTTTTTATAYATAAAATTGGTTCTTAATGTTTGAACACGTTTGTTTCCAGGGTAAAACTGACACAGAATGATTGAATTATCACTCAGATATCTCTACGTGTGGTAGAGAGATTTGGATTCACGTTCATGGCGAACGCCAGACGTCAAATTCCATTTTAAGATTCGCTTTAAAAATTTCAACAAACGCAAAATTTCTTCGAAAGGAATAGAGATTCCTTCATACAATAGAAAATGATCGAATGTGTTCAAAAACGCAAAATAAATTGATCACGTGATTAGTTTGGACGTTTAGCATTCGCGGTAAACATGAATGCAAAACTCTACTCATTTAAACCATCATCCCTCGCAACAAACTTATAACAAGCCTGTTTTTGACGAGTTTCTCTTTGAAAAAAAGGCCACAATGATTTCTAAATTGACCTTTGAGGTACACCCTTGATTACTAAGCGACGACGAAATTTAAAAACACAGCTTTCATAGATGAGATTTCCTGCACGTTTGGAGCGCTGATTATTAGGATTACTGCAACACTAAAATGTATTTCCTATTATCCTTCATTCTTTCTTTCATTCTTTCTTTTTTTTAGTATTATTATTCTTAGCTATGTGTTGATTAAAGCTAATTTTAGCTTGCAAAGAAAGACACCGATATCATTTTAATTGCTCTCAAAATTGTACACCTGTTTGTAAAGAATCATTTATTGACAGACCAGAATATGGATCCTTTAGTAAACAACTTTTAATTAATTTGCCCGTATGAGACCAAAGGATTGATATCCAGAAGATACTCAATCAATGTTTGTCAATTTGTATTGTTTGCGAATCACTTTCAATGTAATATTTGAGAATCTATGAGTGATATTACCCAAGGGGTTATTTATTTCTTAAGTGCCMAAAGCAGTGCATGAGATATGTGTAATATCTTAGCGAACCGTAATGTCGACAAGATCCCAGCCAGTCAGTCGACTTGATTCACTACATTATGCAAATAAAATCTGTTTCCAAACGTTGTACTTCATACGTGTTGTATCTGAGATAATCATTATCGTTTCCCAATGACGAAAATACGGTAAAAAAAATCCAGATCTGTTCTTAGTTTGACAGCAGTGACCTCATTTCGAAAAAAGAACTTCATTGGTACAGTAGACTCGACGCAGCTTTACGGGTTTCCTTTGTTGACGTAAAAAAACGAGAGATTCCCAGTCTCTCCACTCTTCAACAGGAAGCCCGAAAAGAATAGGAGAACATTTTTATTGATTTTAGATAATTTTTTAACTAGTTTCCGTCACTGATATTAGTTTTTACCCTGAATAAGATGCTATACGAAGACATGGTACATGCGCTGCGAGACTGTGGATATCTAGCTCTGTTCATAATTATTATTAATTCATTAGTTTTAAACAAGACAGCGATTGACAATGAATGCCTCAGGAAAATCTACATTACACATTAAATTAATTAAATATATTGATTTGCTTGCCTTATTTGAACATTGTAGATGTCACTCGAGCCATCGGACGTCGTCAGAGCAAATGATCAGTGTACAGCGACCAAAACGAAAAATCCTTGAATGATTTCTCCTCCTTTTGTATGCACTGTTATCCGTGGAGATCCCGATATGAGGAAAAGCGATGAAAAACACACCACAAATACAATAAAATCAGTCAAGAACCATAAAACTGCAGTGTTTACAAACATTTTCAAGTTTCCCGCTTGACACAGGGAACCCGAGCACCATAAACGCATGCTCAAATGGGAAGTCAGCTGGGTCTGATTTCTGTTATAGTTTTTAAGTTACGACCGCGAGGGGGAGGGGTCGGGAACAGTATAAGTTTTTAAAAACATCTTGTTAAATTGCATTTTGCTGCTCAAAGTCTTATTGAGCATGTAGAACTATAAGGAATATATATATAAGAGTTTAACTTCAAGAAAAAGAAATAAAAGAAAGGAAAACGAGGATTACAAACCCTTGAAAGATCTTCTAAGAAAATGAGATTTGAACCGGTTACCCTTGGATTGCCTTACAGCGCCTTAACGGCGTGCGCCATTGTACCACACTCATTTACATAATAATAGACCACTTGACACTTTCACCGAATAGACTAYCCCAATTTGACATTATACTTTCGATAGTTGCCTAGYTAGTGCAAGGGGTTATCCATTAGTGTCTAGGGGCCGGATAGCTTCTCCCTCACTGGCTTTTTAGTTAGCGCGAAGTTAGGACCAATTGTCGGGATAGCATGGAAGAGCCGAAATCTCTAACCGTAWTGTAAVTCGATTCGACGCCTCAGCTTCACAGAATGTCTCGGGGGAATCGTCCCAATCTTTTTCGATTTGTTTGTCAAGGGTTCAAGTCCTAATGCGGTCGTCTTTTCTTTTTCTTTTCTTTTATTTATTTCTATTCTTCTTTTTTCTTTTTTTCTTCTTCTTTCTAAATGTCTGTTACATGTAACATTTATCCTATACATAAGAATAAATAGTGAGACTTCTTGTTATACTTATTTGACTGTGATTGGCTGCCGTCAATCCATTCTCCTTATCGTATTTTATCACTATACTTCAAAACATTTATATTTTGTAAAAAAAATTATTTCTCTCTGCATGAGGTGTGAAGGCAAATTTTGGAAGCTCTTATCCGCCCTTGATCTCTTGCCTAAGCCTTCGTTGGAAACCAGCGATGCTTTTAATTAATTCTTATCATCTGTAATGCTTCTTGCATTACGTGTCTTATTTTCTCATATGTAACATTGTGATTGTATCCTCGATTTTGTCAAACTTGTGGTGTTGTTATTGTATTCAGTAACCCAGTCACTCAAGATAGTGATGGGTAAACTAATTCCCAGTCCCTACGCAGTAGAATCTGGGCAATCCTCAGGATTGACACTTGATTTTGTTCTCTTAAAAGCCAATAGTATAACCCCACACATGGTCATTTCAATGAYACGAGCACATGTCTGCAAGCCAAGCCATGKCCATGGTGGAATGTCTCTWGTCTCATTTAGTACCCCGAATACTTGGGTTGCAGAATATACYTCACTRCAAACCAAACTTAATCCAATAGCCGCTGATGTGTAGATGAGGTACTGCAGGCGCCTAATCTTATGTCTTGGCAACGCGTTGGCGTTATGGGAGAGTTTATGTGCGACAAACAGGAASCCCAMACAAAGAAGGAGACCGAAYGATGAGAGGTAGATTTGACAGAGGAAAACCATAATACCGGCATTTGATTGGTAGATAACAATGATGTCAATCATCAACACCAGGCTTAAATTAGCCACAGATATTCCCGAAACGACGAGGAGGTTTTGAAAACGCGGCGGCGTGAGATTTATTCGTGTCGTATCGACCAAAGCGAACAAGAGAAGTGTAAATGTTGATAAAATAAGAGGCATYCCAAGCGACCACACTACGAACGTTGGTAGTCCATTGGACAGTCKGTTTGATATATAAGGGTCTACGAATAACAATACAGCACGAATTATCCCAAATATCGACATCTGAGTAAAAAACGATACCTTGAGCCTGTTGAATGAGAACTTGCGTGCTACAAGCTCGATGACAAGATGGATACACGCTATAATAGCAACCACAAGATATAGAACACCAAACAAATACACGTGTAAAGGCCACGCCCACTTCCATTCTTGAAATGCGCTAGGCCAATCAGGGACTGGCTCTGGAAGACCATTGCCTGGTTGTGTTTTGGATTCTGGATTCATTTCGGATTCAGGTTCTGGGCTTGTTAAAGAGKTTGATATGGTGTAGATGCATTTAGTGAAGACGATCCAAAAATAGCATCGGGCTGTCATGCTGTTGAATCAAATCATCAATAGTAAGAATGTTGTTCAACTGAAAACTCTTTTTGTACGGTATTTCAATTGTTTTGAAGCGCTTTTTAATTGATTGGATCTTAAAGTGTTTCTCCACTTATACCATGAATAATAAAATTTTGAGGACTGCATTTAACGCCTTAAATTATACTCTCTGTTGTTTTGAATTTCATCTGAAATCAGAAATTTAGCATTTCATTTATCGGTCATACCTTCATTTTTCAAATTCGGAGAAAAATTATCTTTGAATTTTGATCCAAAATGATTTCTGACTGCCTCTCCCATATCTACAGTAGTCATACTGAGTATATTGCTTTTAACAGATAAAATGCATGACCTACTGATAATTTTCCCATTATYTCAGCCGAACTACACACCGAAGTGCCAAGTAAAATGACAGGCAGTAATACAAAGCAAACACACCTTAACTATTCCTGTATGKAAATCATTGTAGAAGCTGTTTAAATGCACACTAGAGTCAATAAACATCAGTRAATTTCATCCCTCAGCAAACATTAATTTCATTTAAGCTAATAAAGATTTACCTGGGTTATAACGCACACGTAAACGAGACTTGTCATTCAATTAATCACATGACGAATTAGAGCAGGGAAAATTCATTTAATTTAAGGATGTTTTCCTCTTAATATCAATAAAGCCAAGTCACTGATCTCTTTATCTAAATAGCGTAGAAATTGCCAATAAAAGAGAGCTTTGATTAAAAGGAACTAAGGAAGTTTTCCTTATTTTGTTTATTTGTTATAGGGTTATATATAATGCAGTCAATTAACCTCCAAGGTGCAGTATTTTYATGAAGAAAGCAGGTTATTTCCTCATATGGATTATGAAGATTGGCTATTTTATAGTCCTGATGTAATTAAAGTTTTAGCTTATAGTCCTTATATCACTTTGGGAATTCCTTTTCAAAAGAAATGGCATCCCTCTACGTATTCATATACAATGGTGAGACAGTTATAAAACTATACCGGGGAAAACAAAAATATTTGTCAGAATGAAGAAGATTTGAGATTGAATACCATCGAATATATGTCAACAACAGTCACTTTCAAGGGTACCACACACCATGAGCTGATAAATATATCCAAAGTTCAGGACTCAGTAGTTAGCGACATCTGCTCATCTATATAATTGTTCCAGGGCGTTTTTTTGCCTGTAAATGGATTCAGAACTGAAATTCTGGCAAGTAATTGTTGACCTACCGAGTTAGATCCTTTAGCAAAAAAGTCTGAGTTCTCCGGTGTATGAAAAACTAAGGCATAAAAACGTTTTTAGTCAACTCAAAACGTTTTAAACCGTCATTTTAGGAGTGTCTAATGGGTACAATCTATTTCCTTTAAGTCAGATTCATTTTTTTAGCGACGTGAGTAGAAAGATAGCAGAAGTACATATGTAATTCTGAAGATAGCTAATATGGCGCCCACACAAAGGTCACACATTTCATGAGAAAACAACATATCGTACACAGTGGTTGGAAATAGTTTTTTTGTTAGAGCAAAACGGAACAAAACATAGCAGTTTTTGTGACACGAAAGACCTTACTAGAGTCACTGGGAAGTGGGGTGTGACACAATCAGTTCTCGCCGATACTAATAAAATTGTTATAGCTATACTCTAATCATGCTAACTTGCAATATTGACATTACCTGGTACAGAGCGATGCAGGGTTATACTCAGTCCCACTATGTTTTGAACGCTGAATATTATTACTTATTATATATACGCAATGTCTTTTCAGACTACTGGATTTTCKTTCAATATCTTATAAATATATGTTTGGTTGGTCAACCAGAAGTCTTTTCTCTGCTACGCAGATCTTTTGTCGTGTTTGTAGCTTGTTGTTCAGATTGAATCTTAGTGCGCATGTCGATAGAAAGACTCAATTCATGGTACACTTGAAAACACCAACTTGTTTGCTCAAATTAAAAAGAAGTTGATAATTTTGTTTATCAATGTACAAGATGATTCTGAAATAATCTTCTCAGATATAATCCGTGCTGGTTTAATAAAAGCGYAGTACCACTGAGAACACCGAAACCGAATCTATAATTACAAAGACAAATAARAATGCACGCAAACTTTATCTAGATCCAGTTCGTSATCGATTTCTCAAGMAAACTTCCTATTTACAAGAARRGGCGAGCAYCACCAATGAAGAATATTGACTTGGCACTAGTTAAGCTGAATTCCGGTTTAGACCATGTTCTCAGTGTCATTTTGAATGAAGAAGTCACGAACTAAAATTTATCTATAAGCAAATATTTCATTAAGTTTCGAGAAATATTGAAGTAATGAATATAATATTGTGTATGTCTCTTATTCTTTCAGTTTACCTGTTTTTATAATAAAAGTTCTTGTTKTTCGGACATGTGATGGGTGACAAGTACCGTGGAATAGAGGGAAGGACGAGGCGTATTTTTTAGATCTCAATGTTCAACCTGTAATTGGGAGACGACTATAGATACACGGGAGGCAAGTTAATGTACGCAAAAAGGAATTAGAAATCATTAGTTACGAAGCAGAAAGTAACTGGAATTAGACATTTGAAAGAAAGTAAGCAGAAATCAAGGAATTAGCCGAGGAAATAGAAATGAGATAAAAGCGAAGATTCATTTTCACGGCATCAGTGGAAACAATCTTAAAGTTGAATTGATAATAACGAATTAAAACTGATGCTAATTTAGCACATGCAGAGAAAATTACGATGCTGACTTATGAAATGCTAAGTGCTTTGCCAAGAACACCATGTATAAATAATTGTGAATTTCATCGCGTGCGGGATGGGCAATTACTTGGAGTGAAGCCACACCTTTATTTGAATTCAATTGATTGTCTGTGTTCCTATTGGAAAATTTTTACTGTAAACAGGTGTTTGTAAAGACAGAGACTTATTGCTCATACAATCAACTATAAATTTCAAACGTTTAGAACATTAGTAATAGTTGCCCAATCTAATATTATGAGATGTCAGTCTGCTTTAGGACATGCAATCTAGACGACTAACAACTATACTACCAGACTGGAAAGGAGATTGAAACCAAAACGAAAATCCCGTCACAGCAAAAGAAACAAAAAGAAAATTTACAATTATTATCATAATTCTTAGCTTATTTGTAAGATTGCTAAACATAAATAAAAAGTCAGTCTCTACTTTGGCTTTTTTTCATCGATGCAGAAGGCTTTCTTTCATATTGATATCGTTGTCTTTATRGAATCAAAAATTCACTACAACTTGAAACCTTTTTTTAACTGAGGCAGAATATATCAATTGAATAAATATACATTCATATGCACATATGAAAATGATTACTTCTAACAAACACACTGCTAACGTTTCAAATACAATTTACCCTACATTCTGTTTTTCTGTTTTCTTTTCAAACAAATCTAAATGCAATCACATATGATATGGAAACAGCTCCGTGTAAACTAATGCTACATTGAACCACACCTGTTATTGCGCTTTTAAAAACTATTAACATAGCATCTACTATCATATATGACATTAAATGTTTTGAGATYTCGCGTTTRGTGACTTTAGTTTGATTTTTAACTACGCGACTCGTGTWACMWGAAGCAAGTCTGTTAGAAGCAAATGGAAACAGTTACAAGCAAGAGATTGCATTGTGCGTCAGTTAAAGTAATAGTATATGCTTACATGGTTTTCCCACGTTAAATGGCAACTGTAGAGGGAAATCTGGTTACACCGCATTACACTCTTGTTTTAGGAAGCTGTATGAAGTGTCGGCTTGATTTACACGACGCAATTCGTGTTTATATGACACAAAAGTTGCATGCAACAACATAGTGAGAAAGATTCACAATATTATGAATAGTCCGCAAAATGGTTTTAAATGAGTTAAAAACAGTATTTGACAATAATTAAGTCAAGTGCTTTTTGATATTCCCAAAATTAAAAACAAATTAAAAAGCAGTTTTTCSCGTATTCAATAAGGAAATATCCAAAATGATTTGCATTAGATTCCTAAATTGTACTAAAATCTAATCTAACACTTCAAGGCGATATGGCAAATAACGACGTATTGTTTAAAAACTATACATTTTAAGAGAAGAATGGCTTGGAAGAGCAGCGAAACAGTGGTTAACAGTACCTATATCAAATTGATTCGAGGCGAGCTCTTATGAGATTTTTATATTGTACATGATAACTCTCACGTACAACCATTAAACACTTGTATTACTGAAAATACTCACTCGGGAATAAAAAAGGTATGATTTCAGTTATATATTGTTTTAAAAACGATAAGTGCAGCTTATACTATCGAAATGAGTTCAGTCGCATTAACTTTGGAAGTCAACTCACCGCATGGTTATTGAGCGTCCACTYKTTCTCACTTCAGAACTGCTTATGAACGAGATTTCCTATCAGCTTAGTTTAACTATCCCTGAGGTCCTGCCTTTACAGGTTACTATAGAAACTATCTGTATATATATAGATACATAATGATGTTTAATGTAAAAATACTTCTGCATATTTTAATTTCAAGAAAAGTTGCTATAACATTTTGATGATAATTATCTATTGATTTCAATAGTAACTTTGTCTGGTGAAAAGTGTTGACATCCTACAGCCTTAATAACTAATATGCTGCCGTTAGTGTCTTTTTAGCGGATCTGAACGACTAAATTACACTTTTACGAGCAATATTTTATTGATAGAAAAATAGCTCCTGCGGACTCGATATGCATTATTTGGTAGAACTTTTTCCTTTCGGTGGCGTGCTCAGAGGATGCGGAGATAAGTGAAAGTGATTTTTTTCAAGCATTTTAAATAAATAAAATAGGCTCTACTATTGGAGCCCAGTGTTTCTCGCATGCTTAAAAGGTAAAGAAGGCACTTAGTTGACAGACGTCCATTTGAGGAAGTGTATTTCACTGAATGTTTCAAACGTCCAGCGACTTTATCTTTTCATTGAAAACGTTTTTCAATTGCTAAAGATTAAGAAGAATTCTCCACTTCCCATTTCTCATTTTAGTTTTTGTTTGGTATTTTAATAAAATGGGACATGATAATAATTCGTTGAACTATCAATCGTCACCTGACATTTTTATTTCTTGATCACACTTGACAATATGTAAAATTAGCCAATTTCTATCACCAAAGCAAAGCAATTCTTAAAGATGTTTAAACATCTGTAAAGTATTGCTTTGCTTTGGTTTGCCACATGTTTTGTCTGCTGAGAGTCTGCTAAGTGATCCTGGCCGGCCTAAAATGAAATCCTACCGCCAGCGTGTTTCGATGTATTAAAGCCAAAGTGTCACTCAATGAAACTAAGCCCTGATCCCTGTGTGAACACAAAAAACATAGCGTGYATAGGATATCCAATCAACATAGAAAAGTTTTCATCTTGTGCCGTGAAATCAGCTGTCGAAGAGTTATGACGCTAGTTAGAAATTAACATTTATATCTTTTATAAAAAGAAAACAGCCGTTTACCTTCTGAGAGGTTTGCATTAGTAAGCTATTATTAGTTATTATTTCATGTAAGTTAAAAATACAATTTTCAGTCCATGACAACATGATATGTCTGTCCTGCATTTATACTTATAGCATATTATCCTCTTAAGAAAACCGTCAATTGTGATCGACGAAGACTCAGACTTAATAGTTAAAATTAGTTTTTTAAAGGCCCTTCGAATTTTCGAAAAGACATCTTCTCATTTTTAACACCTTTTTAGCATTTTTGAGAATAAATGTTATCAGTTTTAAATCGTATTTCGCATTCTGGAAAAGATATTTCTCTTCTCATTTTGGGAATGATACTCGTGACGTCATAAGTTCATTCTCGCCTTGTGTCTATTGTATGTACCTCAGTGTAAATGTACTTCAGTACAAAATGTACCTTAAAGAATCATAACCAACCGCCGTACCTWGCGTCAAGCATACAATAGATTATAGATTGATAGTACCTTTGAGGTACTTAGTTAAAGGTATTTCTGTCCAAATTGAAAGGAAGGAAGACGATTCGCGCTCACTTCAAGGAATCCTACAAATCCGCCATTTTCGTGTCCACCTAAAATAGCGCTTCGGCTCGCAAGGTACGGCGGTTGGTTACGATTCTTTAACTTAAACGTACCTTATAGATTTCAAATTGACCTCAGTAAATGTTCATCAATACATTCAGCACTATTTTATAACGATAGTGATCACAATCAGTTTTCAAAAGCTCTGCCCACGTTCCCAGCTCCAGAAAACTGACAGAGTAAGRAAAAATTATCGATGTTGTATTTTTCTTTGATTAACCAAAGACACACCACCGTGACGATGCGACGTCAATTCAAATAATTTCCCCAAGATAAGCATACCCACCTGCTTCTAGATTCGTGTTTTTTTTCGTTGACAATGGAGCTAAACACGACAGTGTTTACCACCGAGGCTCAATTAGTATCTTGAAGGTATTGATAGACACTATAACGGTTTTAAGCAATTATATACCACGCGCCGCAAATATGACACTCATAATTCTGTGMATTCGATTCTAATAACGATTAATTGAGGGGCGTCATCGATAGTTTGAGTCCAAGATGGATATAATTGTTTGTTATTATTTTAAGCTGAAAGATTCTGGAAAATACGAGTTCTGTTCTTTCTTTATTATCTAAATATTTTAAGACATCACAGCAATGATATACATTATGGTTGAAACTAGCGGTGAACTATTATGTTAGCTGCGTCGGTGTTTCTAAAGAAACAGTTGTGTAAAAAGATAAATTTAACASCGTAAAAATGTAGGTGAAACAACCAAATGACGTTTCGGAAGTTAATCCTTCGTCTCTTTACTCCTACGAAGGATTAACGGTCGAAACGCCAGTAAGTTGTTTCACCTACTTTTTTACAATGATACATTAAGCAACATAACTGTATCGTTTGTGACGAAAACAGGAAATTCGCTGACTAAATCAAGTGTTAATAGAGCAAAATTCTGCGACAAACTTGTATTGTGCAGATGAAATTGCAGTCACTCTTTTTAAAAACTGATTTCCTTCTCTGCAATATTCAGTTGACCTATCCGTAAGACAATATCATGAACACGAAATTAAAAAAAATTAAAAAAAACAAACACGAATTAAAAACAATCCAGCTTGCATTATTAACAATATAAGCGTCAAAAACCGCAAAACAAATTCGGGACAAATCCAGAAAGGACTTAGAACATGCAGGAGAATTTTGGAATCCCCGCTGAAAAGAATGTTTCGCTGCATCGAAATAACCAATTGAGCTTCAACATGGTGAAATCTGAACGGAATACGCAATGAGAAAATCCAGTTCGAAATTTTCTGTCTAAAAAGGGTTGCCTAGCACCCCRGGAAGTTTCCAGTAAACAACGATAGCATTATGAGATACTTAGTAACGAATGCAAATTTCACATATCGGTCCTCTAAGATAGATTATAAATAACGTAAAATAAAATCTAAGAATGGAGAGCGAAGTTGACAGGCAATAATACCATAGATGGGTTATATGTCAGCAACACACGAGTCATTTTCACAGTATCGACAATCGGCTACAATCTGTTCAAATATCCGATCGCTATGTTGATTCAACATAAAAGAGTAATTGCTCTGTTTTTTTTAAGAATGTAAACATATCATTTACAATATTTACAAAAACAAAAACATATGCACATGTCGATCTTTTTCACTGATTCAGTTTCAGGAATTAATGAACCTTCTGAAAGCTTGAAACTATTAAGATAAGTATCTTATGTGGAGGAGAAAAATATATTAGATTAACTGTTATCGTCCGGCCACAGGTTCAATAGTTGAATAACCGGCAATCAAGATAAAATAAAACTAAACAAACGGTGGTGGCCGGTCGTCTATTGTAGAAACTGAAACCCTTGAGGACAGATTTCGTTAAACTAAGTTACTGACTACCTTGACAAGTGGCAACTTTTCAATATGGACCAGTGTCAATCACATTTGAAGCCACTGGTGTTTTTATATGTAAGATATCGAAAATTATTTCTAGACTCAAACGACACTTTTTTTAAAATAATTCCTCTTTTTTGGACTCATGACTCGAAACAAAGTCGGATAGTATCTCTAAGGTGCAATGATCATCACGTAAAAAGGACTTAGTTAAATATATAAGTGGGTTGGGCTCATTTACAGTGTAGATTATAGCTACAATATAGTGAATATCATGTTGAGTACATAGGAACCATTTCGTATCTATCTATCAAGAGCAAATTCTCAGCATGCATGTAGTGTAAGCGGTTAACTGTGAACAGTTGAGTCTAACGCATTTGTCAACATATATAGTAGAGTTTTATACCTTAAAAGATGTCATAAAACTAATGTCCATGGATTTGCAGCAGGTGCAATTCAATCCTTTGCGCTCATTTCAWATGGAGAGACTCTCCTTGTATGAGATTGAAATGTTGTTTACGTCAGCTGTATTGTGAACAAAGGATGAATTCACTGATCGCCCATTGGTCTAATAGATTCTCGACAATGTTTACTGCTTCGATAAACTAGTTTAAATATCAGTATATATCATTAACGATAACTATCGCGCATATTTCTGTCAGGAGTAAAGTTTTTTTTATTGATTTTGTTATATATCAACATCCGGTCACTAATTCAAAAAGTTTTCATCATTTTGTCATTTAAAAATGTCATGTTCAAGTTAATACGTTTTCTCATTAAAGTGAGTTTATTTTTGGAAAGCAATAAGATCATTGAAAATTCAATCGACTTTACTCGACTCTTTAGAGATCAATATTACTTTTCGCCTCTCTATTCCTTTTTTATGAAGCATGTTAACGATCTCTAGGGATATACTAACAATACTTTAACTTGTATAAATTATTAAMAATTCGCGCTTTTTGTAAAAAAAAAAGCAAGGAAGTAAACCTAGAAATTTATGGATAGAATACTCGCGAGTTTTTTTGAGTCAATAAGTTCAGTTTTAGTTTTCCAACTGAGCTAAAACTTCCAGACAAGTCACCCCATAGAAAGAGGAAAGGCTTAGTGATGGATGTATTATTACACAACGGAAGGTTTTCGATGAGCTCAAGAAAATGCATTAAGATAATTAATAAAAYACGTCCTACAGCTCATGAGGATCTGTAGTGCATTAGCGAAAAAAATAAACTATCCAGCAGTTTTATAAGTGTTTATCGAGACAAAACTTTGAWGGCAATTCGGCGTGAAATGTTTGTAGCGCAGCGAGCAACTTGCCGTTATAAACCATACACGTGAGCTAAGCTACCTAAAATCAAGAAGCTACGGCAACAAGAGAAGAAAAACTGATAAATTAATAAGAGCGCSAACTTGATTTACATGATGAGAAGCAACGTTAAATTAAAGATTGCGAGAGATTTTCTCAATACGACGGCAATAAATCGCTTACCAGGGCACACAGCAGCTTGTTTCCTTCAAAGACCAAGTCGATGGAATTAAATTTCACAGCCATCTAATTCATTATTAATGAACGTTGGAAATTTGCCGACTGAAAGTGCTCTACTTATTTTTTAATAGTGTTTTGACGTAATGTCTCGATTTAGCTAAAATCACGTGGCCTCTGCAAAAACTCAGCGCTAGAAAGCGGTCAAATTTGATGAAAAAACGACAGAACTCAGCACAGGCTCGTGTTCTATACTCACACAGTCCGTACACAACACCATAATGATATTTCTACTCACAAAGTAGCCTGTGTACATCCGTTCCCACCTCTTCCCAGCCCGAACAGGCTACCCAAAAATAGAAACAAACAGCTCATGTAAACACTTAGGATGGAAGTGGTATCCGGCCTGTGTCATTYTAAATATTACAGAAAAGGATAGGTTACTGTGGTTACACAATGATCACAACAGAAGTTTAAACAAAAAATAATTCATAAACAAACTGATTTACAAAACATTTTAAAGAAATTTCCGGAAAATACATTGAAGAAATAATTGAACTTTCAATCATTTCCATGTGTTCAGTGTCGCCTTCAGGCAATCAGTTCTTCAGAAAAGCAATTTTCCAAGATTTGATCGCTAGCATAAATAGCACGAAAGCCTAGATAAAGCTCGATAAATCTTATTTTTATTATTTTGTTTATAAATATCTAACATATAATATAATATAAAGACGTTTGACATCCTTTGTCAGTAATAATTTACAAAAAGTTRATGTGTATATTTACAGTCGATGAAAGTCATTCGACGGTTTAGAGGAATATGCCAGTAGGATTCATTGTTGAAAATTCCTATTCAAATTATCTTTTTCCAGCACATACACTTCTCTCCCCTTCATAAAGTAACTACCAGTAGTTTCCTCTTTCTTCCCTTCAGCTATGACCAAAGTCCTGACCCCTCCCTTCTCAGTAGCTACGACCAAACTCCTCTCCCCTCCCTGCTCAGTAGCTATGATCAAACTTGCCTCCCTAATAAGCATCTACCGATATACACTCTCGTCCATGAATTAGAAACAACGAATAAGCCACAACCCACACCATACCCCTTTAAAAATTCCTCTGACACGTATAAAATATTCATTCAATAGTTCCATGATTTCCACCAGGAACCCAGAGARGGAATAAGMAAAACATTGCCTGTTCAGGATACTATTTTCCTGACCCTAGTGTATTCGCACCACAAAAGTGAACAACTGAATCTGAAAAACAAATTATTCCCAGTTGATTTGAATGATGACAGAAAGTTCTCAGAGATGCAGATTGCACCTACTAAATATTATGATCGACACTCTTACGTAACCGCCATCACACTGGATGGAAATTACGAAGCCTTCCTCATAAATTTCTCGTTTACTTATCCAACAACAGTGACGATTCTTGGTTGCACACCGAGTGTAGGGCCGCAAAAAATGGACCTAATTATCGAACAAGTCGAGTCGCACTGTTCAGAGAGCTTATCAGATCTGGCCCCCTCACTAATCATTTAGACGACCATTACCTCTTAGATACACAGTTGCCTCATTTGAAATAGTACCCATGGGGACATTAAAACCCCGGACAGCATACACAAGGTGCGTTTTGCTATTTGGGAGTTGAAGGGCCACTATTGCTATGTTCAGCACAGGCCCTTTTTGGGACATCCAGATTCTTCACTTTTGACAGCCATATTTTTAAGGGACAGAGATGACTAGGACCACGTTGTCAATGGTTYCCTACACGAATGGGAATTTGGTACGTGTAGTTGGCGTCTTTGGTGACTTTGAACGATKGCTGCTTTTCCTGGTCTTTGGTTTGCTTCGTATGCGACAKGTTAAAAGAGCACAGTACACGAGCACAAGAGCTGATAAAAGGGCCAAATAGAATGGGAGCGTGTAGATGATACTGAAATGTGTCCCTGGATCAGATTCTTCATCTGAACTCCCTAAATAAAGAATGTAAAAATATGAAAATATAGCTTTGTAATTAAATGAGAAAGGAAAACCAAGAAATATTTACGATTTTACCTGGATATACATCGATCCTGTTGAAGGTTTGACGAGGTACAACTACAGGAACCTAAGCAAAAAAAAAAAAAACAGGGTGATAAACAAATCATGCAAAAGAATAGTGTCCTTCGCAGGCAGCCTACCCTTTTGCCGGGCTTACTGTACAAAAGGCTGGGCTGCAAAGGAGKCTAACAAAAAAGCAAAGATCAGTGAAGTTACCGAGTCGAGGTTGATGGATARCAATTTGTGGGTCTTGTGTAAGCTGCTTGGTAACGTTTGATTGACAGGATGGGGCGTGGCCCACACTAGATGGGGGCAGGCAGGTAAAGGGCGTGGCTGTGATGCTCCTAGTTGGCTTGCATCTAATACTTTGGAATACTTGTGGAGGTGATTTCCTAGAGAACAGGAAAAGTCATTTAGAGTATTTTAAAGAAAAACGTAAATTGTATTCTAAGTAACTTTACACCACATAGCACAACCACATCTTAGCTACCACCATCTAAATCATCACTGTCATCATCACAAAGTCGTTCATACCTTCCATTCTTTCTGGTCGAGCTACTGATGTCTGAGGTAACTTCCCTTTTGATTCAGCCAACACGGATGCCACTTTACCATTTGCAGTAAAGTCAACAAGAGAGTCCAGTAACCAAAAACAATCTGTTATTAATAACACATTGTGTGTGAATAAAATCTGCACTATGGATGGTTAAATTAAAATTCTAAAAATTGACGAAAATTTGATAAAAGAACTACACCWTATACCAACATGAGTCATTGATATTGTAAAAACAGTTGCAAACAAAATTATATTGGTATTAAAACTGTTTTTATTTGACTGTGAAAGATTTGTGGGATTTACCAATGCCCATGAGATTCAAAAGATAAAAGACCGGCGGCCATGTTGGAGGAATGAGCAATACATGAGAAATCCTTTGTTCAAGGTCCTCCAAGATGGCCGCTGTGACGTAACATGAAAATGAAGAATAGTTATATCACACTCTGAATCTGTTGTTTTCTTATTTAMCAACTATTAAACACTATTATGAACTATTATTGCATGGTAAAATAACCGATAACAGTGTTGTACCTTTCTCCATGTGTGCATTATCAATACAATTAGAATCCCCATACAGCACTATCCTGCCATGGTGTTCRYTATTAGGGTCATAAAGACCCAATACAGGGACACCATCTTTAGCTTTAGTTTCACCATTGATCACTTCATGWCCTTGGTCGTTAAGGCTTTTACTGATAATTATCCCATCTTTAGGAAAAGTAGCWATGCTTGTTCCTGACGAGTAGTGGACTTAAATACACAATAATTATTAGAAAATAGAATACAGCAACTTTAGGAAATATAATTTATAGTAAATACAGTAAAAATTAGTGGGAAACAGACTATCCTTGAAGTTTATCAAGCTTTCTGTATCAAACACAGATCAACTAGAATTGTCAATTCAATTGCTCTCTTGTTGATGTGTGACTTTTGAAGCTTTTATATAGCAACAAAATATCTGCTATAAAAATACTCCAGTTGGAAATTACTTTTACACCTCTTTAGGCTYAAGAATACCTAAAGTACCTATCAGTTTTTGCATTATAATAATATATTAAATGTTTTCATGGTTAAGCCTGCACAAGTAAGATTTCAACAATGGACCACTCTGAGTTTTGTTGATAAAATATGGTGATCATTGCTTTGAATCATCAATGTAACTTAATGTTATAACCATCTGTTCCACATCAATTATATGAACTTAAACTACAAAAGCAAGRTACCTTTATGATCACCAATACTAAAATCTCCTTCATACACTTGATCACTAAACGCCATRCCCCATGGTGMCATCAAGTCATTAAGTGCAGGGATGTTAGCCCCTCCAGTATCAGGCATCCACCACTGGCGTGTGTTCTCATCRTAAAAYTTAATCTTACGCATGACAGGAACATTGTACCAATCAGCAATGACTATGACTGAGAGGCCCTTTTCTTTGATGTCACGGTTAAGTTTAGTGATCTCGTCAGGAAAGTACTCTTCTTCACTGTCTACTAGTAACAATGTTCCTGAAAAAACAAATGAACAACAAAATAGGTAAAAGCATTTGAATAAGTAAGAGAAATAAACATCAACTAAACAAACAAAGTACTTATAAAAACAGTTCACACAAAAGTATGAAAGTGAAAAATAGGAGTAAATAGGAATAAAGAATAAAACTTACCATATTGCTTAGCATCAAAACACGTAAATGGTGAGCCCAGAACCTCTACATAGTACCCAGAGTCCCTTAGGTGCATGTACAGGTCACGAAAATTAGTATGAATGTGATCGGCATTCCTGAAAATACATTAGACAATAAAAAAGTGTATAATGCATATAAATAAGCTTATCACATAAATAAATCCAAACTCACCAGTCCAGAGGGTCATTTCTCATCTTAAGATTATCTCTTGGRAAGTAACCCGATGGATAGCGGAGGTTATGGTACTGATCCCATAAGATACGTTTACTAAAATCATAAATCAAACTTGAACATTGTGTATGTATTTTCAAGGAATATTCAAGKCTACATACCTGCGGGGTGGTGTAGGGATGACTTTGACTCGTACAGGTAGTTTAATGGTAGATGTTCTTGGATCAATTTCTGATTCCTATTGATAAGAGAGGATTAGGTAATTCATTTMAATCTATCAAAAATGTAGGATGGTGGTTCACAAACCTGTGGTGGTGAGATGACKGTGACACTGATGTGTCCTTGTGCTATGCCTTCCCATGATGCAGCATTRGCAGCTGCCGTGATTGATACTGCTAGAAACCCAGACCATGGCCATAACACAGGGGAGTACGTGAACGCAACCTATTATCATTATCATGCATAATTAGTATCATATTAGTACAAGAAAGTGTAAAGACAAACCATCAACACTAAGATGTAAAAAACTTTATATATACATGTATGATGCCTAGGATTTCTGATATTCAATCAAACCTTTAAGATTCAAAAGTATTCACAATGAATTACATTGTATGTCAGACTTGATGTTGAGTATTACCAAACCATGGTAACACCATTATAAACACCTTGTCTGTTAGTATAMGCAGCTTTGTGAGGTACATCAGACATAAAAGGTCTGAAAACTTGTCTGAGCTGCATTCAACMAATAATCAAACTACTATAGGTGTACTTGCCTCTATTTTATCACCATTTTGAGATTCATATGGATGCCAGGTTGGCTGTAGACAAG